CTAAAGTCAGACTTACTTACTCTAAGGCATTGTTCCTTCAAAATACAGGCTAAAGCAGAATTTTACAAGCTGCTTCTTCTGAATTTTTTTTTTTTTAATAAACACAGAATATTTTGTTCAAACAAAATCTAACCTAGAGTGTAAATAATGTAAGTAAAAACACAAAAGCAAATCACTATAAAAAAGTCAGATTTTCCTAAAGGAAAAACTACCATATAAAGTAGCATTTACTAAAGTAAAACATACCTCTCCAAGGGACCTGCGGATCTCAGTCATCACACTCTGAATGTCTTCCTTGGTACTACAGTATTCTCCCAGGATCCATAATGCTCCTCGGTAAATCCTAGGGCAATACAAGATCTGAAACGTGAACTTGGCAGACAAATCTTGAAGTAGAGATCTTTCTTTGTTAATTTAAGCACAAATAAAAACAAGGGCCAGGCACAGCGGCTCATGCCTGTAATCCCAGTACATTGGGAGGCCAAGGCCAGCAGATCACTTGAGCCCAGGGGCTCGAGACCAGCCTGGGCAACATGGTGAAATCCCATCTCTACTAAAAATACAAAAATCAGCCGGGCATGGTGGTGCACATCTGTAATCTCAGCTACTGAGGAAACTGAAGCATAAGAGCTGCTTGAGACCGGGCACAGTGGCTACTGTAATCCCAGCACTTTGGAAGGCTGAGGTAGGTGGATCACCTGAGGTCAGGAGTTCAAGTCCAGCCTGACAAACACGGTGAAACCTCATCTCTACTGATAATACAAGAAAATACAAAAAAAAAAAATTAGCTGGATGCGGTGGCAGGTGCCTGCAGTCCAGCTACTTGGGAGACTAAGGCTGGAGAACCGCTTGAACATGAGAGGCAGAAGTTGCAGTGAGCTGAGATTGCACCACTGCACTCTAGGCTGTGTGACAGAGCAAGACTCCCTCTCAAAAAAAAAAAAAAAAAAAAAAAAAAGAGCTGCCTGAATCCGGGAGGCGGAGGTTGCAATGAGCTGAGATCATGCCACTGCACTCTAGCCTGGGTG